TTGTTTATGCTTATGCAATTGTCCTAAGCAAGTTTATGCAAAGCAACATAATATTTTGTGCGGTCAACCTTTAATAAAGGTAAGCCATATGTTCCAAATGAATAATGCACTAGTTTTTCCATTATAAGGCAATTTAGCCAGTGAAGTTAAATAAGTTACTTTTTTAGTGAAAAAATAGTTTATAAGCTGTAAACGACTACGAAAGAGGCTCTTATAGTTCTTCAATATTAAACGTGTTACTAAAACTCTTAGACTGATTATCTTTATGATTTTGTGGCAAATGTAGGTGGATGACATTGACTGTAGATCATCATCATTCACAGTGGATATGGCTGCAAGGATGACGAATTGCTGTAGTTTTAGTCTACAAGGATTGGCTCCTGGTAGACAATCTCACAAGTCACAACTGACCCTTCTTCAATGTCATTGAATTGTTCTAAAGAAACCAAAGAGAGTACCTGCTGATTTTATAGAGCAACCATATACTTTTTCTTGAGTATGATTCTTCAAATTAGCATAGGCTAGCTTGTTCGGTGTTTCTAGGATTTTAGAACTAGATCTTTGTTATCTTGTTTATATTTGTTTACATTATCGTCTTTCTCATTTATTTTTAATAAAATTTTCTTTAATAAATAAATAAATCAATGTATGTGTGTGTGTCTATATACTTTTTTTTCGTTTCAATGGAAGTATTTATTTTTTCATGTCCATATAATTGTTTGAAACAATGTTTATTTGATTGTTGTACATATATTGTCCGAAAGTATGAAAGTAAAGTTAGAGAGCGTATCCATTTTCATTGTAAAAAAGATTATCGTTACTCTGAACCTTTAAAATAGTTCTAGGCTTAAGAGCTAGACTACTATTTAAAACGAATATTCCTAACTTTTAAAATAGTTCTAGGCTTAATACGCACAAGTCTTTTAAAAATAGTTCTCTTTACTTATTATAGATAACCATGAAAAAAAACGGTGTGACACACACTACTAGTAATACATTACGATTTCTCAAAATTTTGAAAATAGTTCTAGGATTAATAGTCTAACTACTATTTAAAGAGGGTATTCTTAATTTATTATTTACAACTTGTAATAGATTACAGTTTTTATGAATTTTAAAAATAGTTCTACACTATATAAATATATTACTGTTACAAGTGAGTCTTCTTTTCTTATAATAAACAACTATATGAAAAACAAAACCATATGAAACATACAACTAACAATATAATACTATTTCTTATAAGTTTAAAAACAGTTATAAACTGAAAAACCAGACTACTATTTAGAAATAGTAGTTTTAACTAATTATCAACAACTGTGGCAACAAAAACTGTATTTTTAGGTGAAACAGACTACTAATAAAAGATTACCGTTTCTCACGACTTTAAAAACAGTTCTACCCTTAATTCATAGACAACTGTTACAAAAGAGTCTTTTATTTCCATTAGAAACAACGGTGGCAAAAAAATCATATGAAACAGGCAACTAGCAATAGATAACTACTGTTTCTAATATGAAACAGGCAACTAGCAATTGATAACTGTTGCAACAAAAACTGTATTTTGAACTGAAACAGACAACTAGTGATAGATTACCATTTCTCGAAATTTTTAAAACAGTTTTAAAGCATAGTAGCTAGACTATTGTTCTGTAGCCAAGAAAAATTCACAGTAGTCTGATTTTTTTAAACTACTGTGTTTCCATAAACAGTAGTTAATCAACAGTCGTCTGATACTGTTTTTGGCGTAGTGTAACTATGTTCACAAACATGCTAAAATAGTATTCTAATCCCCACACTTTAAAGTATTTGTCTCGTTTTGACTTTTTACAAATAATTATGATCAATAGTTGACATATAATTAAGTAAAAATTATATGATATATTAATTAGAAAAAATTATTCTGAAAAAATCATACAAAATGAATCTAATAAAAGTATTTTTATCAATATCTCTACTTAATATAACCTGAACAAGAACTCTAGAGGGAGGTAGTATTTGTAACTATCCCAAAAATTTTAATTTTTATCTTTCTCTTTTTTAAAAATGTATATTTAGTTTAAAATATTTTGTTCTACTCTAAAAAATATTAACCACTTACTTTAAGATATTCATATCATTTTTTACATTTTTAATCTCCATCAAGATAAAATAAGTATTTTTTATAGCACGAAGATAATAGGACACATTATTGAAACTATTAATCCCTCCATCCATAAATATCGCCAGGCAAGCTTCAAATAACTTTTGTTTTTGTATGTATTTTTATTGATTATCTGATAAAATAAAACAAATAAAACAAATCTGTCACCATTTATTTTATGTATTTTTCGAAAGAAAACAATAATTTAGGGACAAAGGTAGTAATTTTTTGGAAAGACAAAGGTAGTATAATGATTTCTTTAATAATATTAATAATGAGCATCATTTATCCATACGTAACATTGTTATTGTGCTAAAAACATTATTATTTTTTTAATTTTATTTAATATTATAATAGTAATTATCATTGAATTATATGTGACCTTAAAAATGTAATACTCCCACCGTTCCTTAAAACTCTTCCCCTTTCAATTTTTTCCAATTCTCTAAAACACTTCCATTTTCTATTAAAAAACTACTTTTACCTCTACTTTTTCATATCCTACCTATCACATCATACTTTTTCACTAATAACCAAATTATCACATCTTACTTTTACCCATCACATCAGGGGCAAAATTAGAAAGTCAACTAAAACTACATTTTTCTTACTTTGGCTAAAAGTCAAGGAACCTTTTAATTATAGATAGAATAATAACATTACTTTTCAAAATTTTTCTAAATAGATCTAGCATAATCTGAATAGAGAGGATATGATATGGTCTGATCTGATTTGAAGACGTGATCGAATTACGTCTGATTTGAGTGCATTTGATATATTATGATAGAATCTGATTTTACTAAAAATAAATAACGAATAAGAAAAAATAATTTGAACAAAACGAAACCTAAGAGAATGAAAAAATATGATGATAAACATTAAATAGAGTAATGACTCCTAATAAGTACTTCGTAATGAAGTGGGATAACAAAATCAGGTGGGAGAACCGATGTGAAGAATTAACAAGAAGAAAACTAGTAAGGGCGTTAATGCAATTTCTAGAATTTAAAATGAGGTGGAGTCTTTTATATAATACTAGTGTTAGAGCATCTCCAACCATTGAGTTTTGACTTGTTAAATGTAATTATTTGGCAATTCATTTCAATTTTTGTGCTCCAAGGGGCTTGCTATATTATAACACACTTGGTAAATTTTAACTTTGGCTCGTCATATAAAACAAGCCTTTCAAAATATAGCAAATCATGATATTGATTAAATATTTGATTTCTTTCTTATTTTCTCTCATTCTCCTTCTCAAATATTTAGTTACTTCAACTCTCTAATTTTTTTTACTTTTTGTAAAGTTCTTTTCTCTACTCGTTAATTGGTATTTATTAAATATTTAAAAAATGCTCTTTATATTTTATTATTTTCCCTAAAGTAAAATATTACTCCGTTTTGTTTTTTGAAAGTATTATTTTTAAATTACATAATTATTACTTAATTTTTATAATATAAATAATAATTGAATAATTATTATAAGGAAAGTATTATAATAGTGAAAAAATATAATATAATTGTTAGCTAAATTACAGCAAGGGAAGGTTGGAGATGACAATATAAAATGATTTGCTATACCACTATTCACATGTTAAAAAATAACTTTAGCAAGTCATGTTTAGCAAGTGTGAATGGAGATGCTCTTAACCCCGTGCTTCGCACAGGCTCGAAAATATGCTAAAATTTTAACATTCTACTTTTTATTTTCATTACTCATTTGATAAAATAATATAGTAATGTCATTTATATTTTTTTTAAACTTTTGATGCAGTTTTAAATATAAAAGGTTGAATTTTAAATTTTAAGCGTAATCAAACAAATTGAATTTAAAATAATTTGGTAAAATCTCGTAAATTGAGAAGTCAGTTTTAGGACAAAGGGTGTATAATAAAATAAATATAAAGTTTTAAAATATATATCATATACTCCGTCTCTCCCACAAAACCCTTCTCATTTCCTTTTTCATCTGTCCCAAAAAACCATTCCTTTTTCTGTTAAAAAGTCATATTTACCCCTATTATTTCTTAACCTACCTAGCTATCATATCACACTTTTTCTCTATTAATCAACCCATCTTATTATCCATTAGAGGAATTTACGTAAATAGCACTAAAACATAATGACTTTCCCTAATTAACACTACATATGTTTTTTCCCAATGTATCACTTTTGGTCATTATCCATTAGTCATTATTCAAGTAAATGTTTGTCACCACTGGTCATTATGGACATTATTATGTGTAATTTAGGAAGAAAACAATCTAAGTTCTATTTAGAGAAAATGACGTAAGTTTTAGTGCTATTTAGTGCAAATATTTCTATCCATTATATCAAAGGGTATTTTTGGAAAGTCAACACCAAAATACACTTCCCTTAAATCCTTTAAAAGTCAAAATGAGAAGTTTTTCAAAGGACGGAGGGAGTAGTTAATAAAAATGCTTATGTAATACTCCGTAGAGTCAATAGCATTCAAAAAAAGATGCATATGTGATAAATTAATGAAATTACTTTTTAGAAGTAATATAAATATAAATCATGGATTACAAAAAGTAACTTATTTATAATTTTTAAATTAATGAAATTTGAAGGCTATAAACCACCGAGAGTATGAAATAATACAAGTTTTAGAGAGAGAGAGTGTGTGCAAAGTGGGGTATATTGATTTCAAAATCGGATCCCTTACAATGAGCGGTGCCACCCCTTTTATAGGGGGTACAATAAGCTAAGTCAAAGCTCTCTGATCGTTTGCTTTTTAACCATCGAGTGGGGAGGATTATACCTGGTTCACTGGGGAGGATTATACCTGGTTCAACAATCGAGTGGGCGGCGTGGAGATTCGGAGCCGGATTGATCGTTTGCTTTTTAACCAGCCGTGGACGGATATGTTCTCTTGTTTGGTGCATCACTTGGATAGAGTTGGATCTGATCATGCTCCTCTGTTGGTGGAGTGTAAGTCTCATGAACGTCCTCCTGCACGGCCTTTCACTTTCCTTAATGTCTGGACAGAGCACGAGGATTTTCAGAAAGTGGTAGCCGACTCTTGGAGGGAGGACATTACTGGCAATCCCATGTTCGTATTTGGTGCTAAGCTCAAGCGTCTGGCACATAGCTTGAAGAGATGGAACCGAGACACCTTCAGTCACATCTTTGGTAGGCTTAAGGTGCTTGAGCAGGATGTTCGGGATATTGAGCTACAGCTGCAGACAGATTCATCAGATGAGACCTATATCGAGTTCAAGCGGCGTTCTACACTTTTGAAGCGCCAGTATCGTATCGAGGATGAGTTTTGGCGGCAGAAAGCCCATGCGAAATGGGTGACGGACGGGGAGAGGAACTCGGGGTACTTTCACTCTGTAGTGAAGGATCGCCAGCGGAAGCTCTACATTCACCGCATACAGGATGACCGTGGGCAGTGGGTCACGGAGAGAGCTGCGATTGGGATGCAGGCGATTACCTTTTTTCAGGCCATGTTCACTGCAGATCCTAGTGTTACATCTTCGGCCTTAGACATGATTCCACGGCTGGTCACTGATGAGGATAATGACCGGCTATGCGCTGTTCCGGAGATGGAGGAGGTCAAGACTGCGGTCTTTGCTATGGACTCTAGGAGTGCAGCGGGTCCCGATGGCTATACTGGGGCCTTTTATAAGGCCGCTTGGACGATCATTTGCACGGACTTATTGGCGATGGTACAGGCTTTTTTCTTAGGCCACGATCTGACTCGCCCTCTCACGCATACTTCTATTGTTCTATTGCCCAAGAAGCCCAATCCTGTGACCTTTGCGGACTTTAGACCCATCAGTTTGTGTAATTACTGCAAGAAGATCATCACGAAGATTATGGTTGTTCGCTTGGCTTCCGTGCTCCCCCGGCTGCTTTCCTCGCATCAGAGTGGGTTTGTGGCGGGGCACTCTATCACTGATAATATTCTTTTGGCTCAGGAGATGTGTCACGGGATGCGGGTGGATAATGATGATGTCATTCTGAAGCTGGACATGATGAAGGCCTATGACCGGGTCTCCTGGTATTTCTTGATGTCAGTACTGCGCCGATTTGGATTTTCGGAGACTTGGATCGATCTGGTCTATCGGGCCATCTCGAATATTTGGTACTCAGTCATTATTAATGGGATTCGAGAGGGCTTTTTCCATTCGATGAGGGGCTTGCAGCAGGGGGATCCACTCTCTCCGTCCTTGTTCATCCTATCAGCGGAGGTCCTTTCTCGTTCTTTGGCTCGGCTGTATGCAGATCCTATAGTTGCTCGTTTTACACAGCCCCGTGATGCACCACATATCCATCATCTTGCCTACGCCGACGACATTGTCATCTTCACTTCGGCGAGGGGGGGACACTTTAGAGAGAGTTTGTGCAGTTTTACGTTCCTATGAGCAGATTTCAGGCCAGGCTGTCAGCCTACCTAAGAGTGCCTTCTTTATGCACCCTAAGGCGTTGGCACCCGTGTTGGAGCGTGTTCGAGATACCCTCGGGTGTTCATTGGATGTGCTTCCATTCACTTATCTTGGCTGTCCTATTTATCATGGTCGGAAGCGCATTCATTACTTTGAGCCTGTTCTGAAAAAGATGCGGAACAAATGTTGTGCGGGGATGGGGTGCTATCTTTCTCCGGGGGGAAGGCTATTATGATTAAGAGTGTTCTGCAGGCGATCCCGACACATTTGCTCGCTGCACACTTTCCTCCCAAGACAGTGATTCGAGAGATGGAGTCTATCATGGCACGATTTTTTTGGTCTGGCTTGGGAGGGACTCGACGCTACCATTGGGGATCTTGGAAGACTCTGGCACGACCAACAAGGGAAGGTGGGGTCGGCTTCCTTGATTTTATGACTCTGGCTAAGTCTTGTTCGGCCAAGCTCTGGTGGAACTTTAGGACACAGGACACTAGCTATTTGGACGACATTCATGAGGGCTAAGTACTGTAGCCGCGTCCATCCTGTGTCCAAGCAGCGTGGTGCTGATGATTCACACACATGGAAGCGCATGCTAGATGTTCGCGCCGTGGTTGAGCCTGTGATTCGATGGCGTGTACTATCTGGCACGTCTAACTTCTGGTGGGATACATGGTCTGGATTGGGTGCCTTGCATCGCCAGGTCGATGGCTGCAGTGGGTACTGGACTGATGGAGTGGGTGATATGTATTGCTCTGATTCTATGATTGACCATGATGCTCTACCCCCTGATTTATTACGGCAGTTGCGCCTTGAGCTGCCATCTCTAGTTTCTGACCATGTGGATATCCCGGTCTGGACCCCGTCTACGGATGGGAAGTTTACTCTTGCTTCTGCTAAGGAGCTTCTTAGACCGAGGAGGCATGATGAGGTGGAGGACATTATGCTTAAGTGGTGTTGGCAGAAACACTTACCCTATAAGATGTCCTTTCTAGCATGGCGCGTTTTGGAGAGGCGCCTTCCCACTGATGATGTCCTGGCGAGATTTGGCTTTGCTTTGCCTTCTCGGTGCTTATGTTGTTCGCCGCCAGGACGGGAGACCATTACACACATTTTCTATCATGGGAGCATGGCGCGGCGTGTTTGGACTTATTTCACACAGTCTGCCCGTATCCGGGGCACACATCACAGTTTGAGGTCTGTCTTGAGTATATACTATGCTGCGTGCAAGTATGGGGATGCTTGCCCCAACTTTGCACGCATTATTTTTCGGGTGGCTACGGCGGTGTCGGAGTGCATCTATCGTCGCTGGCCTAGCGGGGGTCTCTTGCCTTCCCGATGGTCGGTGATCATGGAGCACGTTCGACGAGGCTTTGGATGCAGGAGGGTGGTGCCGATTGGGTGGGTCCCACCGCCGGGTGGCACCATTAAGGTGAATGTGGCGAGGGCCCCGCTACGTGGGGCATTTGCAGCGATCGTGCGTGACTCGACAGGTAAGTTTCTTTATGCTCTTTCTTCTATTGCATTCAGGTGGGAACCAGTGGAGCGTGGAGGGATGGACGTGCTTCTTCGGTGTATTCAGTGGTGTATATCCCAGTCCTTCTTGCGTATCCACGTGGAGTCCCATCATTCAGAGCTAGCTTGTTTCTTTAGAGAAGGNCATTTGCAGCGATCGTGCGTGACTCGACAGGTAAGTTTCTTTATGCTCTTTCTTCTATTGCATTCAGGTGGGAACCAGTGGAGCGTGGAGGGATGGACGTGCTTCTTCGGTGTATTCAGTGGTGTATATCCCAGTCCTTCTTGCGTATCCACGTGGAGTCCCATCATTCAGAGCTAGCTTGTTTCTTTAGAGAAGGTACCCCGTGGTACCTTCATGATGTTTATGCTAGATTGCGTTTCCTCTGTTCTATCGCGACGGTCCAGTGGTTTCATTGTGACGTGCGGGCGAATGCCCCGACGACTGAGTTAGCATTGTGGGCCGTGGATAGTACAGAGGGGACGCGGGAGTTTACTAATCTGCAGGATCTTGACATTCGGGTACGATCTCTCCTTCCTATGGACGATCTGCCCTTCTTTCGCATGGATGAGGATGGGGGTAACCCCTAGTTGCACTGATTTGGGTGCCTTAACGACCGCGTCTGCGGTTAAGAGGCGCACGTATGTACCCGCGGTTAAAGGGTGCCCGTTGATCCCCGCGGTTTGGGGCCACATGTTGTACCGACGGTGAACGGTGCCTTTGCGAGATGACGGGCGTAGTTTCGTAGAGTTTCTTTCGCCCCCGTCGACTCCTGCGGCTCCTGGGGTACGTCGGCGCTTGCGTCTAGGTTTTTAGCGCCCGTAGTTGCCAGCGGTATTTGGCATCCTAGCCCGGGCAGAGGTGGCTGTCCGGTAAAGGCTTTTTCCATCTTGCACTTCATCTGAGTGCCTTAACGACCGCGCCTGCGGTCAAAAGGCGCACGTATGCGTCCGCGGTAAAAGATGCCCGTCAGTGCTTGCGGATTGTGGATTTGACCACCCGTGGCGCACACGGAAAGTGCGTATGCGTGGTACCGTCATCAAATCGGTGCCCTCGTTGGGAGGCTGGGTGGGGCCCGATGAGGTTTCTTCCGCTTGCATCAATGCTTGCGCGTGAGGTTAGAGCACCCGCTATCTGTCGGCGGTAATGGGCTAAGGGTTGGCCACTGACCTATAGTGGTACCTCTTCCTTCCTTCTCCATTTCTCTTGAGATTTCCTCTCTTGGATTCTCTTCATTTTTCATCTTCATCATTGTGGATTTTGGACTTTCTTGAGACTGCTTCACTGGTTATTTTCTTGGATTTTGGACTTTCTTGGATTTCTACACGGCTGGACTACTTGGATTTGGTTGGATTGAAACTTCTAGTTGGGCCGTGGCATTGGCGGATGGGCTGCTCACCTTGGCGGATGGGACCGATGCTCTTGGCTGGTCACTGATGGTTGGACGGCCAGGTGATGGGCTTGGGCTGATTTGGACGGGCGCTGGGCACGGGTTGGATGGCTTGGATTGGGCCGGCGGCTTACTTGGGCTGGCTTGGAGATTGGACTGTCATGGTTTGGGCCTCCTCAGGTCGGGCTTCAGATGCGGATTTGGGCTAGCACACATGCCTTCCTTCATGGTTTGGGCTTTTCGAGTTTTGGGCTCTACCTTGCTCACTTGGATTACTTTTACACATATTATTTTATTCATTCTTTAGTTGAGCTTTTCTAGATTTTAGACTGGACTTATGTCGATTGCAGTTCTTGGCTTAGAACATTTTTTCTTGATCGGATTATCTGACCTTAGGCCTTACCCTTGCGGGGGTTGAGGCTCCGGGAATGATTTTATTCTTAGATCTAAGTGGAATGTTTTGAGCCGGCTTTGTAATTGCACTTAAGTCTATGTTCAATATCCGATATGCGCTTCACATTATAGTTCTTTGGTTGTTGCTTACTTTTTATACAAGTTAGGAGCCTGTTCCCGCTTGTTCAGACGTTTGTATTCTTTAATTATTTAATAAAATGCATTTAAAAAAAAAAGCTCTCTGATCAATGCCCGTCGTCTAGCGGACGTCACATGTCCTTGCGTCTTGTCCCTTTCATCCTATCGTTTTCATCAAGTCTCCGTTGAACGTCGCTTTCCGCATGTCATTGTTGCAGGGCTCGGGCTCGGCTTGGTTGGCCGAGCCAAATAGGAAGGACGAGCGGAGCGCAGAGCCGGGTAGGAAGGACGAGCGGAGCGCAGAGCCGGGTAGGAAGGACGAGCGGAGCGCAGAGCCGGGTAGGAAGGCGGGTGGAGCGCAGAGCCGGGCAGGAAGGCGAGCGGAGCTCTGGGCCAGGCAGGAACGTCCAAGCCCGATACTTGGGAAATTTTTGTTGATGGCAGTTCTAGGCTGGCGTGGGGTTATTCCCCAACAGAAGCCCCCACTCTCCGGGTTCCATGGCATTTAGCAGTGGAACGCGTGAGAGTAGAAAACACTGTGGTCGGTCAGCTCGTGGGCCCACGCGTAGCTTGGCGGACATGTGGTGACGCTTGGAGTTCCCCGCGAACGGTTGTGGCGCTTCGCTTTGGTGAAGAATTCTGGTTTAACTCAAAATTCCCGTAGTAGTAAAGGGAACAGACTAGATCTTTAAAAGATCAGTTTATCCCGTGTCGTCTCAAGGATCGGCCCAAGGGAAAGTTTAGTAAGACTAGCTAGACAAGTTTTACTCGTTGAATTGAAAAGTTTTCAATAAGTCGAATAAGGAAAGAGGATTGAATTTTATCTTTCAGAAATAAAAAGCAGGGATGTAATTATTGGTGAGGTGATGATTCTTTTTAGAGTAAAACACCGGTTACTTTTACTTTAATTTTTTTACTAGTAAGTAAATATCTTTTCAAATATTTACTTAACAATCAATCCAATGTCTAAAGATCAATTATCAAATTACTGGACTTGACTTAATTAAATCCCAGATTTCTCAAGAAATATAATTTTCAAGAATAGATTTGTCTTCTCTCGATTTACAAATCTCACGTATAAATTGTCAGTAATAAAAACTAGTAATTTGCCTTGACAATAATATAATTTAACTCAATGATTTTCTCAGAAAATTACCATTACCATTCCAATAATCACATCCCTAATTAACTTAGCTACTCAGAATAAAAACCTTCAACACACATGCATCATAAGAAGACATTGTTTTCAAATAAAAGTAGAGAGTTGACAAACTTACTTCAACAAATCTGGAGAACTGGAGGTTCGGGCTACAATTTGCTCCGTGAAAACTCCAAGAAATAAATAAGCTGGAGGTCACATATGAAGGTACGGACCAAGTTCGGGAGGCCAAAATTGACTTCCTAACGCAGGAGTATGAGATGTTCAGAATGAAGGAAGGCGAAAAGATCGATGACATGTTCGATCGGTTCTCAAAAATCATCAACGACCTTCACGCTCTCAAGAAGACGTACGCCAACAAAGACCTCGTGAGGAAAATCCTACGGAGTCTCACAGCCGAATGGAGATCAAAGGCTGACGCAATCTATGAATCCATCGGAGTCTCCAACGTCACCATCGACGGGCTAAGAGGTAACCTCAAAACTTATGAATCCACTATTCTAACCCCGTCTTTGGATGAACAAAAGAAGAAGGGAATAGCGCTGAAAGCAACCAAGGAGTCCGTGGAAGATGACTCAAGCGATGATGACAACGAGTTCGGACTCGTTATCAAGAAGTTCCACAAATTCATGAAGAAAGAATTTGAAAGAAAAGGAAGAAAGCACGACGGGCCTCTGAAGTGCTATGGTTGTGGTGAGATAGGCCACATCAAGCCGAGGTGTCCAAAAAGCAAAGGCGGCAAGGACAAACCTGGCTTCAAAAAGCAACGCGCCTACATCTCTTGGGGAGGCGACGCCGGGGATGAGTCAACGGATCAGGAAGAGGAGGAAGCCGCCAACCTCTGCCTCATGGCGCACGAAGATCAAACTGACGACGTTCAAGAGGTATGTACCATTTCTTCCGACTCTTATACTTTTGAAGAAATAATGCAAGAAGCACTTCATGAGCTTTATGATGAATTTGTTAGCGCTTCTAAAACCAATAAATCTTTAAAGAAACGTCTTTCAACTCTTGAAAATGATTTTGACAAATTGGAAAAAGATAATGAAAGGTTGAAACAAGAAAATAAATTTTATGGTAAGAGAAGTGCTGACAAACCAGAAAGTTCTTCAAGTGAATGTGAATCTTGCAAGACTTTAAAAGAAAACGTTGCAAAACTTGAGAGTACGGTTAAGAAGTTTAATACACCACACAAAGATCTTAATTTACTTCTAGACACCATGCACTTTTCTAAGGAAGGAATAGGTTTTGATAAAAATGAATCTAAGGATAAAAACGTTGAGCAAACATCTAGAAAACCTCCTAAGGCTCAACATAAGAAAGTTAAAAATCAGGATAATAGAAAATCTAGTCAACCTAGGGACACTAGACAACCTAGACAAAAACCTAGGAATGAAAATGTGCATGATAGACAACCTAGGAAAAGTTATCAAAATAATTCTGTGCATAAAAATAATTTTTCAAATAGACA